GCTGAATTTCAGGAGGTTCCGGTCATCCCATTTCTCTGACTTGTCGAGGTCTCTCTGGATGGCATCAAGACCCTCTGGTCTATCAGCCACTCCTCCCCATTTTGTGACATCAGCAACTTGCTGAGGGTACACTTTCCCATCATCCAGATCATTAATGGAGATGCTGACCAGGAGTGGACCCAGTATTGACCCCTGGGCTAATCTGCAGGCCACTAGCCTTCAACTAGGCTTTGTGCTGCTGATCACTACCTCTGGGACCAGACATTCCGCCAGTTTTCAACCCACTTCACTGTCTGCTCACTTCAACTCATACTTCATAAGTTTTTTATGATGACCTTATGTGGGATAGCCTTAAAAGTCTTACTGAAGCCCAGGTAGACATTATCCACTACTCTCCTCTCATCTACCAGGCCAGTGCATATCTTAAGAAACTTTTGATCAAGAGATTTCGAAAGTCAGATGCTCAGCTATTTCATAAATTGAGGAGTTTTACACAGAAAGCTTATATGGCCAGATCCCTTTGTAAATAGGAGAAATTTGTGTTTAAATCTGAGAATATTTTGATAATCTCAAAACCCCATAGATAAAGGTTTTTTTTCTGTAGGAGGAAAGAATCTGTTAACAAACTCTTGTTTCTCTGTAATTAAAGAGACTGCATATCTGTGCAGCCGACAAAACCAAGCAACCATAGCACTACACAAGTTGTAACATTTCTGCACATAAGAACAGCATAACAACAGGCTTCCAGAATGATCTGTCATGGGTGGAAGCTTAAGCCAGTGCGTTTACAATGAAAAGAAAAATCAAGACACTTCTAGAAGAGCAATGTATTTTTACTTGGAAAGGGTACAATAAAAGAAGAAAGCAGCTTTTTTTTTTTTTTTTTTTTTTAAAGAAAAAATAAAGCAGCATATGGTAAAACCATCTAAGGAAGTTTAAAGGGTGGGAAAAATGTAGAAAGTGGAATCAGAACATAAATGGCTGCGACAAGCTCCACAAGCTTCACTAGCATTTGTGAAGGTCAAGCTCACTTCCCATGGAGGACTAAAAGAATGGTTTCTCAGCTTCATTTGCAAATAGGTAAGAAAACTTGGGGCCAGGACAACTCTACTCATCCTTTGCAATTATATTACTGAAGGAAAATGTACTATATCCAATTAAAAAGTCAGAGTAAAGCATCATCAATTCAGCAAAGAGGCGAAGATCCAGTATCACTAAGCTACAGCCTGACTTTTGAAATGTAACTATTCAGTAACACTAGAGATCACAGAATCATAGAATATCCTGAGTTGGAAGGGACCCACAAGGATCATCAAAATCCAACTCCTGACCCTGCAGAGGACGGCCCCAAGAATCACACCATGTACCTGAGAGAGTTGTCCAAACGCTTCTTGAACTCTGGCAGATATTTCCAGGTTCTAACAATTTTGCTGTTCGTGGTGAGATAATGATTGCTGAGATACAACCTATGACTCGATCTTCCATGAAACCAAACAGCATAAGGTATTACAGCTCTACCCCTCCCGCCCTCATGGGGTGGATCACACAAACTTAAGCTGAACCTCATACCAAGCCTTTACTGGTCTTGCACAAAAATGTGTTGGATCTACAGTTAACAATACTCTTTACTAAAGCCCTGAAAAGTCTATTTAAACACACATTCACCTAACAGAAACATTTTATAATGGTATGAACCATTATAAAAAGCAGTCTCAGCAGTTTTTTAAATCTGTCCCACATTATATTCAGTTGTGAAACTCCACCAGATGAAGAATTGAGAGTAAGAAGCTATAGTGAACTTCAAAAACTATTGTAGTAGAAAGTTATCAGATGGCCTCCTTCCTGTTAAGGATGAAGACCAGGTATATCATCTTCCTGTTGCTCCTCAGAAGCAATTTTGTATAAGTTCTGTTGTAAATTATGAACTTACAGCCTCCTCTGATATTCAGTCATCTGGACTATTTTTGCATGACCACATAAAGGTAGGTCTTACTTTTTACTCACAGTTCAGCACATCAGTCTCATATATCCCAAAGCTGGTGTTAAAGGGAAGTTAGAGCTACGACATTTTTATGATAAATAAAAGTGTTCTGTAACCCCCTTCAGATAATTATTAAATAACTCTATGGATACACTGAAAAATTCAAAAACAAACAAACAAACAAAAAAAACCCCACCTTAAAATCTTAAGTACTTCTTCAAACATAGTGTTTTAAATATACTGTCCACCTGTTCTGTGGAATTTACCCAATGCTTTGTTGGTAACAAAGATGGCTGATGAAAGTGACGGGAGACATGATTGGTCTCATGCATGAAGCATGACCTTCTGGTAGCTGGCTTGTTTAATTGTCCCCTGCAGCTTGATGTTTTTCACCCCAAGCATCCTTTCTCCTACCTTAGAATCCTGCTCAACAAATTGACTCATCAACTGGGATTGAAAAGCGGGGAGAGGTTGCCTGCTCAGAGCACTTTCTCTAAAGGACACAGAGTTCAGCAACAGATTTGCACTGTAATTCCTCCTCCAACATGTGACTAGACACAGGTGTTTATATGACATTACAGAAAGGGACACGTCTCCCAAATATATGAGCAAGGAAGACTTTACTTGAAATACATCTAGTTCATAGCAGTGTGACCTGGAAAGACAGATGGGTGGGAAGAAACAGTTACCACATGAAAATCAAGGAATATAAAGTAAACTGTTAAGCTCCCTAGCATTAAATCTTACTTTAAAAACAGTTTAAATCTACTTTTAAATCTTCATGTCTTCTCCCTGCCCAGTGCTCTTTCCCCCAGCTGAAATCAAATACCAAGCCTTGCTACTGTAAACTGGTAAAACAAAAATAGAAATGAAGCTTATGATGAGAGAAAAAAAGGAAACATTTGTAGCATTAAAGCCTTTTATGAGTGAGGCAGCACAGATGTTATACATTTCTTTCAGCCCTTGTATCCTGTTTTTAAAATCAGCCACAGATTTCTGGTTCACCAGTCACAGAGGGTGTAGTTTCACTGCCTGGGGGTTTTCAGTGCCTGGAAGTGTGATTCTTCCCTCACTTCTTGACACCTCCAAAGGAAAGGATCCGTGAATTGATCAGGGTTAAAACACCTGGCAAAGCAGAAACAAGAGTATTTTTAACCCGATTTGTTTCAGTGTGCCGCTCACTGCACAGCTGAGGGTGTGGTGTGAGGGGAAACGGACTTGCACGAGGCAGTCGGGAAGCAGGAAACCTTTCAGACAGTGCTGTTGTTAAAGCCCGTGTTTCCCAATACTCAGCTTGTCATGAGGCAGCCATTAAGATCTGGAATCCTTCATATTGCATAAATCTCTCTTATTTTTATTTTTTTTCTGATGGGGTGCTGAAATAGGTGGCTGCCAGGCTCCTTTCACCACAAAGAGCCCAGGTGACACACACACACACACGCTCTTGTTGTGCTGCAAATCCTGGAACTTCCCCTGTGAGCAGAAATCAAAGTGGTAGCCCAGGTATGCTTAAATATATAGGAGTTAGGTGATAACCACAGTTGCTTTGTATAAAGAACACTTGAAGTGTTAGTATATAAAAATTTTGTTTAAATGGAACCACTGTATTCCATTTATTAATTACTGTTGGACAGACCACTGAAGTGTCTACTGACTGTGCAGACCTTCAGTCAACATCTAGGACAACAAATTATGGCTCAAAACATTGTTTGGCTACATCAAATAAAAAGTAAAAAAAAAAAGACTGCTGCTAATCTTAAGCAGAAAACACAGACAACATCAAGAGGAGATTTAGGAACATCAGTAAAGTCTTACAGATTTTTCCTCTGAATGCTTTTTAAGTTAAGTCTTCTTAAGAAAGGCCCTGGAGCAGAGCTCCTCTGACCTCATGTTTATGCTGAGCATCCTGCCTGCAGGTGCACTGAGGCTACCACTTTCTTGCAGTTCTGCATCTCAACCCTAAGATAAGATGTAGCCTACCTGGGTAAAAACCTACTAGTGCTTCTAAACACGCCATAACTTAAAAGAATTTCAATGTTATTTTATACTAACCACTATATTTTTACATAATTATTCACATTATGTTAGTACATTAGATATATTTTAGCTTCAAAACAGCACTTCTGAGACTTTCTTCCTAACTTCCTGATCTATTGGCACTCATGTGCTAATATATTCTTTAATGGAGAAGAGGAATAAAAAAAATTGGTGGGGTGTATTACACCCCAATAATTGTTGATGAGATCAAGCAGGACAAAGCCCAACAGTGAAGGACAGGACAACTGCAGCAACGCAGAGATTGTTTCAGGAATTGATCAATAATACCATTTACCACCAACTTGGTTAGTTTCTTTCCAGAAGGAATCTCACAGGCAGGCTGTTGTCCTTCCAGCCCTATAAAACCAAATGGAAGGACAGAAGTGTTTCAAGCTGCTCAGCAAAGGTTTGACATGGAACTGAGACAAACTGGTTTCCCACTGCACTCCTGACTGGATGCTCAGGTCCCGTGTGCTGAATATACACTAATGGTGGCTTATCCAGCTGTGCCAAAGCAGGAATTCAGCCAGGAAGGAACACACAAGCCCTTATTCGGATGGGTAATCGTCCCTTGAACATAATAGACTTAAGTTGTGCCAGGGGAGGTTTAGGTTGGACATAAGGAGGAATTTCTTCACGTTAGAATGTAATGGGTTACCCATTACATGGTGGAGTCACCATCCCTGCAGGTGTTTAAGGAAAAAACTGGACGTGCAGTTAGTGCCTTGGTGGTGTTCGGTCATAGGTTGGACTCCATGACTTCCGAGATCTTTTCCAATCTAACTGATTCTGTGATCTATCAGTAATTGCTAATTACTGAGGCCGAGTGACCCCGCCTTTATGGGGACGCTTCGGAAGACAAGCGGCATTCCCGTGACGGGGGGATGCCGCAGCAGCAGGGTCCCTCACACGCCCCTTCCCAGCACCGACCCCAAGTGTGGGGGCACCGCCCGCCGCCTCTCCCCTCACGGCGCTGCCCGCCATGCGCATGCCCCGCACAGGGAAGCCTCGCGAGAGGAAGGAGGAGGCGGCGGCGGGTCCCTGTCTCCAGCCGGAGGTGCCGCCCTGCTGTCCCCCCGTCACCCCCCGTGTCCCCCCCGTCCATCGCGGCCATGGCCGCACCGCCGGCCTCGCCCGGCCCCCGTGGCCGCTTCGAGCAGGAGCAGGACCGCGCCGTCCGCGCCCTGGTGCGCTGCGTGACCGGCCTGCCCGAGGAGGAGCTGGGCGGAGAGCGCTTCCAGGCGGCGCTCAATTTCGCCTGGTCCAACTTCAGGTGAGCGGGAGCGCTGCAGGGTCGCTGTGCCCGCGGTGGGTGGGGGGGGGGACGGGGCCGTGTCCCGCCGTGCGCCGCGTCTGGGGGAGCGCCGGGGGCGGCTGCGAATGTCTATCCAGGGGTCAGTGGCTGATGCTCCGACACGTACAAATCTTGGTGTTTTAGGGGTTTTCTCCTGCCCTGTAAAAAAGTGCCTTCCGGCGTTTTCATGTAGGCGTCCAAAATTTTGATTGTTGGAGGGAGGTAAGCTATGGTTATATATAATGGAGCAAGTAAAGAGGACTCTGCCGAATCGAGAGAAAACTTCCCACCAAGAATGCTGTGCTGCTTATGGTGAGAGGTTATCAGTCTGCAAAAGAGAATGTGTTTGGTGTTTATTTGACCTTGTCAGAAACGTGGTCCTTATTAACCTGTAATATATACTATCTGTATCCCTTTAATTACACCGCCACCTTAAGTGTCCTTACTCAAGTTTTACACACTCTTTTCACTTATCACGGTTATTGTTTCAGTGTCTTCTGCCAACTTGAGTTGGACTCGATGATCCATGTGGGTCCCTTCCAATGCAGAATATTCTGTGAAATCTGTGAAACTTTTACATGATGCATTTCTCATTACCCACGCTGTCACTAATTGCTGCCTCTTCGGAATCTTCTGTGCTTGTATAAATTGAGGCAGCAGGTGCCTAATCCGAATAAAATCGATGCTGCCTTACATTTTTCAAGGTGATGAACTCCGTTTTTAGGGGAGCAGTAGCGTAACTGCATTGCATCTGCGAATCTTAACCACTAATAGGCTCAAATAAAACTATTTTAATATGCAAATCTCACCCTCTGTTTTGGTCACCCAGTTGCTTGCGTAGCTGGGTTCTTTTTTAGATTGAGGAATTGGTTTTTTGGTTTTGTTTTTTTCTTTTTATGTTTGAAAACAACGTTTCAGGAAAATAAAGGGTGCAGAGTCAACAACAAACTTTTGACAGGGAGGGTTGGGAAGAGGAAGGGTTTTTAATGCCAGAATTGTTGTTCAAGAAATGTGCCTGCAACATCAGCCTGAGATTGTCTAGTGTCATATTTCCAAACAGTGAGACCTTAAGTTGTAGCAGAAACTCTCTTTAGTTTCAAGTTTGTGAAACTTGTGGTTTGTATTACTAAATTTGATGATGTGTCTGTGCTGTAGTTGTCAGAGCCATCTGTTTATTTCCATGCAGCTTGCTAGTTACCTCTTTTATCATGATGTTCACAACTTGCCTAAAAAAATTGACACATTTTTTTGTGTGTGTGTGTTAGGGTCATTAATTAAAGCTTTAAGTAATAGACTAAAAAATTTTTACTAGTAACTTCCCTGCAGGTTAGTTTTTCTTTTCGGTGCACATCCTTGGTTTGGGTTTTTTATTGTCTTTCTAATATGAGGTTCTAAATCTCCCAGTTCTTATACTTACCACCATTTTTCATTTTAATTAATGGTTTCCTATGTAAGCTAATGTACTATAATAAATGACATAACTGTATTTTCTTAACCTAAATGCCAGCTACCTGGTCAGTGATATGTTTTATCATGCTTTTATTCCAAATCCTAATACATACACAGCTGAAATCAGACTGTCCAATTACAGACTGGGTCTATAATTAAAAAAGTTTTTTTTTTCTTTAATATTGGCCTATCTTCATCTTGCAGTGATACTTGAGATCTGCCTACAGTTTAATTTTCTAGTTCATTACTTTGACATTGAGGTGACTTTATATTGTCTTTGCAATTTCAGTTTATATAGCTTAACTTTTGCTCATTACTCCGATCCAGTAGTTTTCATTTCTGTTTGTGGTCACAAGAGGTTTAGCCTTGTGTTCTATATTGTTGATGCTGGAAAAAATACATTAATAGCCCAAGTATAGAGTGTCTTGACCTTGTGCTCTCTGCTGTCACATCTTACTCCCTGTTCTTTTTCTGTCTGTATCTGAAGAACTTATTCATAGCCTAATTTGTTCTGCAAAGTCCTTTTTAACTTTCACGAGTTATTGTTTTGTCCCTGTACATATACCATTGTTGGTATATCTGTTTTTATTTTTGATTAAACTCCCTTTTCTCCTAGGCACTCTCCTTTAGTCTTTACAAAAAGGAGCTTTTTTGGGTTTAGATGCCTTCCCATGTGGGTGTTTGTTTTGTCTGTGCCTGTGATGCAAGTCCCAGATAATTTTGGTGCCTTTGACACCAATGCCTTTGACAACACAGTTCTTGATCTCCTTGCTCCACTTGACTTAGGAGACGGCATACTTTAATTGCTTAGTTTGCTGATACAGTAGTAATTTTCCATTCAGCTTAAAGTGCTGGTTAAATGTAACCTGCATTCAATTTTTCCGTCTTTCAGGTCAGTGGTAGTTAATCCTTCTTGAGCTAAGAAACACCAAGAGTAATTTTTGTTGACACTTAATGCTGTTGCTGCATTAAATGTGCATTTTAAAACAGGTAACGTCTTCATGTATGTAAATCAGATTTATTTTCTTCCTTACTTAAGCTTCCTTTTAAACATATTCTAATGCAGATTTCTTACACAGATTTCACCGTTTTCTTGATGTGAACAGTCATAAAGTAGAGAGGACAATAGAAGGGTAAGTTTTATACCTGCATGCTAATAATGCATTGGTTCTCCTTTTTTTTTTTTTTTTTTGAAGCATTTTTTATACTATTTTTGTTATTAGAATACATGAGAAATTGATAATTCATTCTGACCTTGGAAAAGCTGCAAGCTGGAAAAGACTAACAGAAAAATTTCTGAACTTGCCACTCCCAAGTCTTGAAGAAACAAAGGTATGTACGTTGCGATTGCCATCTTCTTTTTTGCCCATTCCTCTTGAATTTGTGCGGACAATGGGGCTTCAGTTGTAACATTGTGTTGGAAATTTCAGGTGACTTAGCAAGGGACTTTGCAGTTGCTGTTCAGGTCGTGGATTTCCAGAAATGCAAATGCATTTATTGTCTTTTCAGGGTTTCAACATACGCAGTTTCATGACTTTAAAGGACAAGATCTCATTGCAGAGCAGATGTTTTAGGGTTAGCATTGTGCAAATGTTGTAGCTGGAATCTAGGTGAATCTAGATTCCTCTGTGTTCTAAGACAACTAATAACTGAGCAGTTCTTACTGTTTGCCCAATTTTTTTAACCTTAAGTAATGCATCTGGATGTTTTGGTTGTAATGTTCCCGGTTAGAGTGCTCCTGTCCTGCCTTATTGAGACTATGGAGGTGTTTAACCATTGATACACTTCCTGTCAAATCAGTTTAGGATATGGAGTGGATGAATATGGCAAAAGGTGTCTCAGAAGTTTTCCACTGTAGCAGTGTAGTAAATAATGAATTTGATCTTCAAAACCTGAAAGTTCCCTCTGCTGGGAAATTTAAGCTTATGATTCAAGAGGAATAGCATAATACAAATCTCTGGACCTTACCATGTTGGCACAATATTGTAACCTGACTGAAGGCCTGTTCCACAACTGCATTAGTGCAATACTGGAATTTAAGATTTGTCCTTAATGATTTGTGTAGATTTTCAGATGCAAGAAGATAATATGAACATAATATTAAAATGTAGTTATTTTAGCTAACTTCACTTTAGCCTCTGTTTTAAATAATCGGCCATATGAACAGGGGAACCTGAGACTTGGTTCCCTGCAGGCCCATTGCCTGTGTTGTTCCAGCTCATCCAGGTTAATGTAGCTGTCCAATATCCCTTGTCCTGTGACTTTCATAGTACTTGCATCTTTTCCATATTCTCTGATTATCAGCTCAGTTAGAGGTAGCTAATGTTATGACTACTTTTGAGGTATTTATATACTAATTGGCTAATTAGTAGGCAGAAAAATTATGTGGCAGATGTTATTTTTGTAATTCAGGACTGGGGAATGGGAACTGATGGGTAGTATTCATGCAGATAATAGCCTAGGTTTGTTCCTAAAATCCTTTAGTCCACTTACAGACTTGCTTTTTTTTTTTTCACTATGTCCTAAAGACAGAGACACACTATGCTATACTATCTCTTCTATTGTGTTTATCTGATTCTCCATCCAACACCACCTATGTGGAAAAACCAAGAGTCAAAGAAGTGGGTAAGTTTACAAGATGTTTATACTGCTAATGAAAGATACAATCTGTTAAGAAGGACATTTTTGCTCTCCATTTTATGATCTCCTTCACTTCACATTGCTTTATTGGTTGTCGTCTTTATAATTTATGCATTTAAAATGGCTTGCAAATCCTTCCTACCCCCGTTTATGTTACATCACCTGGTTAAGTTTTCCAGCCATCAAAGTACCTTGGGAACTCTCTTTGACTTGTACCGCTATCAACAAAGGTTCTCCACCTGTTCAACAGTGCTTACATGCGCAAAGACAGACAGTGGGTTTCTATCCTGAGTCTCTGTCTTGCACCTCAATAATAGATCTGCTGAAACAGCTTTGGTGACATAAATTCCTATGTTCCCCATATAATCAAGGAAAGGGGGATACATTTGAAGGTTTCCAGAGGGAGATCCCAGCTGCGTGCTTTCTAAAGTAGGGCTTTTTCACTCAGTGCCTGAAAATGAGGCTTGCGCTTAAGTTTGAGTGGATACCATCCCCCATTTGTTAACAGTGTTGTATCGTAGACTGAAAGAGTATTTCAGACTAACCTAAAGAAAATCTTGCATCTTAAGATTCCTTTTTGAATGATCTCTGCACATTCCCTCGGCGGTGTTTTGAATGCACTTTCAGCCCATTCCAGGAATGTGAATATGAAGAGGTTATCTCAAACAACACTAATTACAGTTGAGTAAGCTTCATGTTTAAGATATAATATGTTGTAAGTGTGATTGTTACTTTTGAAGTACATTGCACATCACATCATGGGTATGTGGTGTCTTTTTTTGGAGAGTAAGAGAGTCCTTGGTTTATGTTGTTTACAGTCCAGGATCCATGTGCATATGTAAATCGTACATTTAGAATGTTTCCATTGAGCTAAATGGGAATAGTCACAATAAGTGATGTGTTGCATTCTTGCATGTTTTTCCAGGATTGAAGTGTCGAGTAGTGTAACATAATACAGATAAATGTGCCAATGGCACATGGTGTTGCATATTTGGAGTGTTTAAGCAATAAAATTGAGAATCAATAAGGGGATATACATGGTGGATGTGTCAAAATTTACATGTTTTGTTGGAAGCGCATAGCCTTGTTCAAGGAACAGTGGTGTAACCTCAAGTGGAAGGGAATGCCTTCTATTTTAGGTGTAGGGTATTAAGGTAATTTTAACTTTGGAGGTGTTCTTAGAGGAAAAGTAATTCAGAGTTGTGAGATATTTACTATTTTTATGTTTGTACTTCTCATAGAAAAGGAAGAAGAATTTGATTGGGGAAAGTATCTCATGGAAGGAGAAGAAATTTACTTTGGTCCAGGTGCAGATACACCGGTAAGTAATTTCTTAAGGTAAAAAACCCAAACTATATAAACTCATTTGAAGTATGTTAGATATCTCGTTGAGTTGTCCTAGTTTGTATGCTCTGCATGTTGATTCTTGTAGGATTCCCCAATACATTGCTTAATGCCATGAAATACACACAGACCCAAGCAGAATAACAGTAATGAAAATACTTCTGTTTTTCACAATGTTTTGACTTAATCCTGCAGTTAAACTGGCTGCTTCTGCTGACCTCTGCTTCCACCTCATCAGAAATTTCTGCAGTTCTGTGAGCTTTTCCACATCTCTCATTTGCCTGGTTATTTATGTTATGCATAACCTAAATCAGGATAACCTGCGAGAGAGTTATGTTAGTCTTAGTGTCCTGAATTTACTTTATAGTGGAAGACAGAAGAGAATAGTTTGTGTTTGACTTGAATAGGAGCTGGGTATAAATCTGTCTGCCATGTTGTACTGAAATGTTCTGGGGTTTGTTGCACTTAATAGGATTGGTCTGGAGAAAGTGAAGAGGAAGAAGACACTCAGCCCTTGAGCAGGGAGGACTCGGGTATTCAAGTAGACAGGACACCTTTAGAAGACCAAGATCCAAATAAGAAAACAGTACCTAATGTTTCCTGGAAAGGTTAGAATAAGCTGTAATTTTCTGATATAGTCATGCATACTGAAATTTAGCAAGCTAATGCAGCTTTATTTATTATTCTTTGGTGAGGTATTGTGTTTTAGATTTATAATTGTATTATAAGGTGCACCTTACTGTTCACGATTGATGGGGTTTTTTTTACAGTAAAG